TAGATAGGTAGGTAGATAGGTAAGTAGATAAGTAGGTAGATAGGTAGATAGATAGATAGATCGATCGATAGATAAATAGATGGATCGACCGAAAGATAGATAGATTGATAGATAGATCGGTCGATAGATAGATAGATAGATGGCTTAGCTAGGTAGATAGATAGATCGATAGAGAGATCAACAGAGAGATAGATAGATGGGTCGACAGATAGATAGATAGATAGATAGGTAGATAGATAGATAGATAGATAGATAGGTAGGTAGGTAGGTAGGTAGGTAGGTAGGTAGACAGACAGACAGACAGACAGACAGACAGACAGGTGGGTAGGTAGGTAAGTAGGTACATAGATAGATAAATAGATAGACAGATGATAGATAGATAGATAGATAGATAGATAAATAGAATTCGGGCCTGGGTGTTTTCATGTACTGCTCGGATTTAAACTTGGGTTTCAGAATTGTGGACTTGGTGTCAGGGTTTGGGCTCTGGTTGCTTAGGCCCTTCGGGTTCAGGGATACTACCTGGAGCATCATGAGACTTAGTAAATAAAGAATTCAGAAGCTAAATCGGGGCTAAGTATAGCTACCTCATTCACAACCCTAGTCAGCAAGTGGGTTATTCTCTAAACTAGGGTCCCTTTTATCATACGATTTCGGGACCTAAAAAGGGACCCTACTTTAGAGAACTACCCATATATAACCATTACATAACCCCTGTAGAAACCCTATAGAGACCCTTATCTATAGATCCCTTTACTGTAAGGAACCTTAACAAGGGATTCAAGGGACCATACGGTTTCTCTTCGTTGATCCCATGACCTTTTAGCAGACCTGGGGGGCCCTAAACCCTAAACCCTAAACCCTAAACCCTAAACCGATCCCATGAGTTCCGGGCGTCACCGTGGTCACCACGTGACTGGTGGTGTGGTGGGAAAGCTCCTGGTGCCAGTAGACATAGCCTCAGATTTGGGTTTTGGGTTTAGGGTTTAGGGTTGAGGGTTGAGGGTTTAGGGTTTAGGGTTTAGGGTTTAGGGTTTAGGGTTTAGGGGTTGAGGGGTTGAGGGGTTGAGGGGTTTGGAAAGTTTAGGGTCTAGGGTCTGCAGAGCCTTCCCTAAACTCACTTAGCGACTCCGCATGCTAACCCCATTTACTAAGTCAAAAGTGGTCCAAATAATATAGGTGCCTTAATAATTAGAATAGGGTTGCGGGGTATCGTATACGATAAATATAATCACCCAAAATCAATATAGGTAATTATTAAGGGCCCATTTTTTATGAAACCCGTCAGTCAAAGCCGGAAACCTAAAATCCACATCCCAAGCCGCCATTTCCTAAAGATCGCCAACTTGGAAGCCGCAGGAGACCCCCTTCAAGAATACAGGGGCCTTAAGAATAAGAACAGGGGCTTCGGGTTTAGGGCTTTAGGGTTTAGGGTTTAGGGTTTGGGGGCTTGGAGGCATTCTATTGTAGATCTTTATACGGACTATGAGGATACTGCGACTACTCACTCAGACCTCTAGACTAAACCCACTGCTGCCCTGAAACTGATAATTTATGACCCGGGGATGTAAACCCTAAACCCTAAACTCCTAAACCCTAAACCCTAAAAACCTAAACCCTAAAAACCTAAACCCTAAACCCTAAACCCCTAAACCCTAAACCCTAAAACCCCTAAACCCTCTTAGGACCTAATAAAACTGGGGAGCTGAAGCCTCTCTGGGCCATTCCCTCGTTGAGACGTCGGCATCCGAAGACTTTGGCTTTGGTGTTCTTATGGCCACATGGGTAGTTGTCAAAATTATGGTCCCTTGGGGGGTACCCTAAATAATAGGTGCCGTATTATAATAAGGACCCAGGCTTGGGGTTTAGGGCTTTGGGGTTTGGAGTTACGGGCTTTGGAGTTTAGGGTTAAGGGCTTTAGGGTTTGGGGTTTAGGGTTTACACTCGCACTCTTACATACTGCCAAGGTGCCTGACCCTCTAACTCGCACTCTTACATACTGTCAAGATGCGTGATCCTCATCGCATGAAATCCGGAAACCAACGACCGAACTCGGAGGCACAGCCGTCTAGCCCAAATCCGACTGAGAAAGCGAAAGTCGCCACTGTCTGAGATTCCAGCAGCCAGATCTCTCCACAGTGCAAGCACCACCTGAGCCAAGGACTTGTCAGCTGCTTACCGTTTTGTTCTATGTTGCTTCTCTTTCTGCGAATCCTTCCTACTGTTCCTCCTCCTGCTGCTACTACTACTACTACTCCTACTCCTACTATTACTCCTTCTCCTACTCCTACTACTCCTACTACTACTACTACTACTACTACTACTACTACTACCACTACTACTACTACTACTACTACTACTACTACTACTACTTCCACGACTACTACTACTACTACTACTACTACTACTACTACTGCGACGACGACTACTACGACGACGACTACTACTAGGACGACGACGACGACGACGACGACTACTACTACTACTAGCCACTCCCGACCCCCACCAACTACACTTCGTCATCATCATCATCAACATCATCCAAAAATCAACATCAACATCATCCAAAAACCATCATCAACATCACCCTGAAATCTTATAACACATTTGTTCTTAACCATGTAGAGACAACATCCATGTTACTCGGTATTTCCCGCACTTCCGACATGAAGGATCATCACATGAAGCCTCAAAACCCAATGCAAACTCGAGCTTCGGATTTTGCAAGGTCGAGTTCGCAAAGTCCAGAAGCAGGTTTGGTGATTATATACGATGGTCCGACATCGCGAAAGTACTATCAAAAAACAGTATAATGTTAACTTGACATTTATAACCGCCCCTCAATTGTGAAACCCAATCTCCGGAACTCAATTATAAACTTCCCAAAAATTGTAACACTCAACCGCATGAACTCAATACTGAACCCTCTGCTCAGATATCTTTTTAGTTTTGTTCGTGTTTTGGTTTAGTAGAAGTTTACAGTATCGGATTGCTTCAAAGCTTTGCTTGAGTCAGACGCAAGACTGAGAAACACGCTGCAATTACTACGACCGCTACAATATTGCCGAGAGGGGGGAAACACTGCAATTACTACGACCGCTACAGTATTGCAGAAAGGGAGAAACACTGCAATAACTATGTCCGCTACAGTATTGCAGAAAGGGAAAGACACTGCAATTACTGGGACCGCTACAGTATTGCAGAGAGGGAGAGAAACTGCAGTTCCTACGGAGCACTGCAGCGCTTCGGACGACACTTTGCACACTCTCCACAGAGAGAGTCAGCGAGCCCACTCTGCCCGAGAGCGACAGAGGACTCGGACATGATAGCATCCACATTCCCTTGGATTAGAGTATAGCAGTTGGCTATGCTTGAATTACAGCAACACTGCTTTTCCTTCACGATCCTTGACCGAAGCATTAGACCAGGAAGTGAAGCGTGAGGCAAAGAGTGGTCGAAGGCGAAGAGGTTTTCCTTCCACTCGGACTCGGATTGGTGACAAACTAATTACCACCGTCGGAATTACGTGCTCGATCAGCAACGAAGTCAAGTGAAATAAACGCTAGCACCTATAGTGCCAGGCAAACCCATCATACGGTATGCGTACAAACTCATGAACTAAGATGGATGTCAGCTCTCATCCAAACAAAGCAAGACGCGTCGCAGCTTTTTGTCAGACACACACCAGAGGAGCTGTCCGCATGGATCCAAGGCTCTATGTGCGACCGTAGACGTTGCCACACATGAACTGAATCGTTCGAACCAAAAAACTTTTTAACAGCTGAGAACAGTGCGACCAGCACACTCACTGCTGACATGTCCTGTATAACAAACGTTTACGCTGGCGCATGCTGCTTTGTACGCTTTCCGGCTCTACGCAAAGAATCTTGCCGTTCAAGGGTGTGTGGGGTGTGCGACGCTGGGAATGAAGACTCGACGGCGCCGCTGGCCGCTTCAGCATTCGCTTCTTGACTAGGCACTTCAGCTCCGCTCGTGCCGTCTGCAAGCTCACATCGGCTTTGCTGACAAGGCCTGCCTCGACACCGAGCTCTTGACACCAGCCTTTCCACTCGGGCAATGTCCAGAGTATAGACAGAATCTCCCACTCTGACATTTTCCGTGTGGCGGGACGATACAAAGCCGTGTTGTGTGACAAGAGCTTTGCCAAACGCATAATAGATAACTTCAAGCACATCGTTGCCTTGTGAATCTTCTGCGTCTCACGAAACCAGTTATTGATTTCGTGGCGCAAAGCTTCGTTTGAAGTGGTCCCTATCGGGAGCAAAGACAGTCGGGAAGGCTCGATGAGATGTCGCAGTCTTAGGTTGTTGAAATACCATTCCGATCTGCCTGCAGCTGCGGCTGAGTGAAGCAACTGGATAACTTTGCGGTGGCCGGGAGCTACGTGATCTACTTCTGTGCGATACACAGAAGCGAGAGCTGCTAAGGTCCGTGCGCAAAAAGAAAGGCACGTCTGGCTCGAGATTGTCGAGCGCGGACTGGGCCTCACGCGGGCGCATGCTTCGGTCTTCGATCTGAGTACGCGACCGTTCCTCCTGTCTTGTAAAAGATGAGCACGTCTGACCGGTGTATATTGCTTCCCATGTTGTTGGCTGGAGTCTACTGCTGCGGGCGGTCTTCAGAGTCCCATGCCTGCAGGCAGGGTTTGATTATGGGAGGGCGCATCGCCAGCCCCGGGTCCCGGAGAGCCAGGGCCGGGTGGCCGTGCGGGAAAAACCGATTCAGGCCGTTCGGGTCAGAGGCGTCGTTGTGGCCACAGCCGCCCCCTCTAAGAGCCTGCAAGGAAAAACACCATTACCTAATTCATTAATGAACTAAATACAAGGGCAAGAGAAACCCGCCCAAACCCAATCACCACCCCGTACAAAAAACACTACAAGCCCGCTCCTCCACATCTCCCATCATCGAAGAGTCATCACCCATGCCCACCTGCAGGGGGTTACGAGTTTAGGGTTAATTAATTGTCTTAAAAAGACCCTCCTCCTCCATCTCGGAAAGAGCAGCAGACGTCATCGTAGAGGTCGCCATTGCCTCGGGGGATAGAGTGTAGACAGCTGGTAAGAGAGATGTCGCTTAATTCAGAAACAAAAAGAGAAATGGTACTGGATACGTATCTCAAGACGAGAGCCGCGCGAGCGGGGCGACAGAGAGGCGGTCGGGTCGTTGGAGGCGAGAGCCGAAGATGCTCCGGAGGAAAGTCCTTTAGAGAGACAACCGTGCTCCGAAACAATCCCCCCAACCGGACCCCCCTCAATTGTCAATCCCCCTCTGACTGGGGCCGAAATCTATCTAGGGGGGGTGTTATTAAAGCGAAGTGAACATTATAACGGCTCTTCTGGAGATATTGTTCGGCGTGTCTGCGTAACACTGTCGTCATCAT